CCCAGTCTCAATTGCCACCTCAGCACACCCCAGGGGCAGGGCGGCACGGCAGGCCCAGGAAACCCCTGGCCCCTGTGCCTGCTTGCAGGCACTTTAATCCACTGAGCTATTTGGCCAGCCCTCCTGAGAGTTTCCTTTACTCGCATTTTGCCTTGTGCATCACTTATACCATTTGATGCTGTTTTTCTATATTTCAGTGTTAAAATAAAATGGTTTGTACAGCACCTGGCTTTTTTAAAAAACACATTTCAATGTGCATTTCCTAAAGATTTTAGTATTTTCTTGCAGACCTACAGTATGTGTAGTGTGAAATATATGATGAATGTTTAAATAATAATAATTATAGTAAAAGACAAACCCCCCCCCTCAGAATATTCTCCTTCATTTCCAACTCACATCTCCCACTTTTCTTGCCTCTTTCTGAAGTATCTCTGGAAGTCTTCTTCCATAAGTATCTTTTTTTTTTCCTTTTCAATCTTTTATGTGTTTATTTATTTGGTACAGGGTCTTGCTACACAACTCAGATTAATAGTAATCCTCCTGACTCAGCCTCCCTAGCACTGGGATTACAGGCATGTGCCACCACGCCTGGTTTCGGTGGCTGGCACAGAGCACCTGGGGTTCCAGGGCAGCATGGCATGCAGTACCAGGGATCGAACCTGGGGTCTTTGTACTTGCCAGGCAGGCGCTTAGACTACCAAGCTATCTCTCCAGCCTCTCATAAGTGACTTTTTGAGGTATGATAAAAAAGAATAGTGAATGCTGTTGCCCATTGCCATTCCATGGGCAGGTGGCCTTGTACAGACACTGCAGTGCGCCCTCACTCACCTTATCTACTGGATCTGACACCGCGAGACCTCTGGCTCATCCTGAAAGTCAAAATGACGATGAAAGGTAAGCATTTTAAATTTATTTAGGACATCAAGGAAGCCATGAAAAGACATATACAAAGGAGGACCTTCAGAATTGCTTCAGAAAGTGGCAAGAATCTTGGGACAACTGTGCTCAAAGTGAGGAGATGTATTCTAAGAGGGATTAATGGCAATGCGTCCTTTACTGCAGCACATGTTTAAAATTTAAATATTCATCATATTTTAAAAATCACACCATATATTGATTGCCTGTTAGTTGTAAAATATTATGAATAAAATTAAGGAGTTTATTATTTTAAGAGACAGACTATATGTCATATGCAAATCAACTGTAATTAAGGATAAGCATCATGAACTCTTGACTAAACCTTTCTGAAGAACTCTTTAATCGAATTTAACAAGCTTACTAAGTATCTAATACATGTGAGGCATTGTACAAATGACTGGAGAAACAGAAATAAGAAAAAGTAATCAAAACATTTTTAAACCACAAGAAAGGGAGAGTTTTCAAAGGCTTTTCTCAGAGGAAGTAAGTCTTTTACTGGGACTTAAGAGATAAACTGGATCCAATTTTTAGAGATGAAGATATTTCAGGAGAAGAAACAGGAAAAATAGGAGGATGAGTATGTATTCACAACAGCAAAGATACGGAATCACCCTTGGTGTCCATTGACAGACGAATAGATGATGAAAGTGTGGCATCTACACAACTGACTGTTATTCAGCCATAAAAATGAAATCCTTTCATTTGTAGCATCAGGGAAGGAAACGGAAGACAGGGTAAGTGAAGTAAGTCAGGCACAGAAAGATAAACACGGCATGTTATCACTTAAATGTGGAAACTAAGAAAGTTGTTGTCTGTGCGCTGGGAAAAACAAAACTGTCCAGTAGAATTTTATACCCAAATAAACTACCATCCAACAATGTGAACCAAATATCCAAACAATTCCTTCCCTTAGAGAATGAATTAGTAAAAGATAGACTTCAACTAGAAGAAAAATGAACCCAGTAGAAACACTCTGGATTTAAGAAAAAGAGAAAATTATAGTGAACAGAGAAATTGATTAATAAGATTTCCATGATTTTAATTCATTTTTATTATAAAGCTCTTTTAAATTTAAAAATTAAATGTAAAATTCTAGGCAGCAATGACAAGATGGGAAATCAGTAGTGGAATATAAATTATTTTACTAATCCAATAGAGGGCAGGAATGGAGAAAAAGAAAGCAAAGAGAAAGAATAATAAATGAAAAATATGATGGAAGAATAAGCCCAAATATAGTAGTAATCACAACAAATGCACATGCATTAAGTTCTTTTATTAGAAACACAATAAAAACAAAACTTGTGGTAAGGCGCAGCCCAAATAGCTCAGGGGATTAAAGTGCCTGCGAGCAGGCACAGGGGCTGGGGGTTCAACCCCTGGGCCTACCATGCTGGCCCCAACCCCAGGGCGCACTGAGATGGCAATTGAGACTGGGCATGGTGGCGCGTGCCTGTAATCCCAGCTCTTGGGAGGCTGTAAACAGGCAGATCACTATGAGTCCAATCTAGCAGTGAGACCCTGAACACCCTGTAGACCCTTCCCTAAAACATACAAAAAGAAAAAAAAAAAAGACTGCAGAAATGGAAAATATGTGTCATACACAGTAGCAAAAAGGTGACTTGTCAATCCCAAATCTAAGGGCCAGCCAGATAGCGCTTGCTTAGGCAGGTGCAGGGACCAGGGTTCGATCCCCTACATGCTATGCTGACCCCTCCCCCTGGACACACTGAGACAGGTGCGCTGAGACTGGGCGTGTGATGCGTGCCTGTAATCTTAGGGCTTGTGAGGTTGAAAACAGGAGGATCACTAGGAGTCCAATCTGTGCAGTGAGACCCTGTCGACCCTGTATTAAATGCATTAAAAAAAATCTATTGGGTATGGTGGCATGCTGCTATAATGCCAGTTGCTGAGGAGGTTAAGGTGGGAAGAACCCAAGTCCAAGGCCACTCTGGGACACTTAGTGAGACCTTTTCTGAAAAACAATAAAAAATTGAAAAGGCTATGCTTGTAGCTCAGTGGCAGAGGTGCCCAGAATTCAGTCCCCTATACCCCAAACCAAAATTCTAATTTAGGCAGTTTACATGAGAAAATGCTAGGGAGGCAATACATAAGATTCAGCCATGATTTGCAATGGAAAATATGCTTTAAGAAACAAGACCTAACATGCACTAGGCATCATGTCTGCATTTTATACGGATGCATCATCACATTTGACACATTTTATAAGAACATCATAAATATTAATAAAGGAAATGGTTATCGTATTATATTAGGGTGCTCCACTTCTATGTTTCATGCCATGAGAGCTGAGGCTGTATCTTCTTAAATTTTATGCCATCAACAGTGAAAAGTGCCAACACACAGTAGGACTCCACAAATTCACAAGGACATCAGGGATCATTTTCTTTCATGGAATCTCCCCTAATTGTCCTTGCTCTGAAGGACATTTCCTCTGCTCCTACCTCTGTGGCACTCATTATTTGAAATCATCAACTTAGCAACTGATGATACGGTGACTCTCCTACTTCTCCATGTTCAAACTTTGTTTCTCCAAAAATATGTCAGATTCTTTTGGAGAAGATGCTTTATATTATGCCAAGCGCCTGGTATTCTTGACTGGTACCACTACTTAAAATGGAAGAATGTGGGCTAGATCCAGAGCTTCAGCCACACATGCCACAGGGATGGGGTGTGTCTGTTCTTTTTTTCCAGCTCTTGACTAAAGAAATCATCATTTGGAGACAGGTTTGTGCGTGTGCAAAGAATTTGGAAAAGTTAACAGGAGGGGGAGAGAAAACATCAGGCTATGTCCTGTCCCAAGGCTATATTCTTTCTGGAAAAATAATGAGGGAGAGGGGAGCCTGTGACCTCACATAAAAGGGATGCGGGAAGTGAGAGGAAGACAGTGAGGAGAGGGCATCTTTCACCCAGCCGTGGAAAGCACATGGGTGAACCTGATCTTCCGCGGGCAGGCTTGGTGTTAGAAGCTTATTCTAAGACACCCCAAGCAAACATCTGCGTTTAACCACTCCAAGCCTTGTACAAAACACAGAGAGAGATGCCCACTAGGAGGGATGCCACAAAGAGGAACGCCCACAGGGAGGGATGCCCACAGGGAGGGATGTCACAAGGAGGGATGCCACAAGGAGGGATGCTCACAGGGAGGGATGCCCACAGGGAGGGATGCCACAAGGAGGGAGGCCCACAGGGAGGGATGCCACAAAGAGGGATGCCACAAGGAGGGATGTCCACAGAGAGGGATGCCCACAGGGAGGGGTGCCACAAGGAGGGATGCCCACAGGGAGGGATGCCCTCCATCTACAGATACGGCACCTTAAGGACCTGTGGAGCGGCAGGCCGATATAATGAGCACGGTCAGCCTCTTGCTGGTCCCCAGGAAGAAGAAACCACCCGGAGAGCTCCCACCAGAGCCCTGGATGAGGCAGCGAGGCGGGCTGGCTGAGCTCCCAAACTCTTCCCGAGTCCAAAATTACACAGTGAGCCGCCCCTTTCCTCATTTATGCTCCCGCACACGTCTAGAGCCAGTTTGATAGTAACTCCCCCGGGCTGCCTTCCAGGGTTAGTACGGTGCCACACACGCTGCTGGCACTCCACAAACGACTCAAATATTTGTTGAATGAAGGAATAAATGAATCAAGTGTTTAAATAGAGCTCACATGACCTTCCCAGTTGTGTGGCACGGCGTTGAATGAAATCAGAACATTCAAGGCACGATCATTTGAGCAGCGCTGGCAGGGAAGAGCGCGCGCGCGAACACACACACACACACACACACACACACACACACACGCACAGATTCATATTCCCACCTTGGGAAAAGCACACCCACCTGCTCAATAGGCAGGCTGCGCGCATTTCCTTGGCAAGGATCCGCTCCTTGCTGCTTCAGAAGGGTGCCCCCGGAAGGTCAAGTCACCCAGGTTTCGGACTTCTTTCCTCCCCTGGCTTCCGAGCCAAACTTTGCACAGATTCGGCCCGGCCCTCCAGGGGAGGCGCCGCTGCCCTCTCTCCCTGCTCCCCAGCCCAGGGCGCAGCTCGCCGGCCCGCGGCTCCAGCCTTACCTTGGTAAGCTGGGCGATCTTCTTGCACATTTTCACGTGCATCTCCGGATCGCAGTCCATTCTCCAGCCCGCGCCGGCTCGGGCGTCGGCTTTGGAGCTCGAGCAAGTCCCGGGCGGGTGAACGCTGCTGTTGAGGGCAGATGCCATCGCGGCGAGGGCCCGGCGCTCGGAGGCTCGGCTCGCCTTCTTCCTGCCCCCGTGCGCACGTGCGTACGCGCGCGGGCGTGTGAGCGCGTGGGTTTCCTCGGGAGAGGTGGCACTGCAGTCCTGCGGGCCGCACCACAGCGCAGCCCCTGCTCCGGGAGGTGCCCAGCCGCGCTCCGCCCCTCCCCCGTCCGCTCCGGCGCTCGCCCGCTCTGCGCTCTGCGGACACCCCGCTCTGCGGCGGGGCCCGGCGCCCGCACGTGCGGCTAGCGATCCGCACGCGGCTCGCGGGCGGGTGCGGGTTTGGCTTGCAAGAGGGAAGGTGGAGAGGTGCGGGACCGCGGACCCTGGGGATTTGCGCTCGCCCGACGCGGCAGGCTTGGGCACGTGGGTGGCTCTGGACTCCGGACTTAGTGGCGGGAGACCCAGCTGGAGGTGGGAATCCCAGACCAAGAAGGAAAAGCTTCAGCCCTTGGTAGCCAAAAGAAGTCAGGGGAGGAGGCTTTGGAAGGGTACAGGGAGGTGAGGCAGGCGCTGGGGGACCTCTGGAAGCTCAGAAATGAAGGAGCAGAGGAGGGGCGGAATATCAGCGGGGCGGGAGGTGACAGTGAGTGGCCAGGGTGCCGGGGGTGCGGCATCCCGGGTGCAGCGTGGAAACCTCGAGGGCACACGGCGGCCCGCAGAGGCAGCGTCCCTTCCTCGCCCAGAGATGGACCTGGGCGCCGCGGGATTGCTGGAGATACCCGACAAGGGGAAGAAGCAAAAGGAGGCAGAGGAGCGAGACTCCGAAATCTGAGCCGAGAAAGCGCGGAACGCACATAGTATCGAAGGAGGGTGTGTGTGTGTGTGTGTGTGTGTGCGTGTGTGTGTGCTCGCGCGCGCGCGCGCGTGTGTGTGTGTGTGTGTGTGGAGAGAGAGAGAGAGAGAGAGAGAGAGAGAGAGAGAGAGAGAGAGAGAGATCACACTGGTGGTAGCAGGCGTGGGAAAGGAGGATTGATGAGTAGTTTAGGGAGCTTAAAATGTAAGCGGAGCCAAGTGCAAGTGCAGGGACTCATGCAGGTCCACGCTGTTGCACTTGGCTGAGCCCAGCCAGACTCGGATCAAGTATTTCCAGAGCAGAGGTGGGCATTTTTCGGTTTGTTCGGGATGGGCGGGGTTCGCTAGCCCCCCTCCCCCTTGCCTTCTCTGGTTTCAGACAGTGAGCTTTGGGGAGAGTGTCAGTACACCATCAGATCTTTCTATTAGAGGTTTTTTTTTTTTTTTTTTCTATGTCAGGCTGCCTTAAGGGCGGGTCTGGTGCTACTTGTGGAGCTGGGGATCGAACCACCATCCATCAGATCTTTCTAAAGTGTGAATAACAACAGCATCACAATTAAGGACATTGCATAGCTAAATAAATTTTATAAACTGCCTTGTATCAAGAGTTTTGATAATATGGCTGGGGAGATAGCTCGGCGGTCTAAGAGCCTGCCTGGCAAGCGCAAGGACCCAGGTTCAGCTAGCCCATGCAGAGCCAGCCTCCGAAACTGGGCGTGGTGGCACATGTCTGTAATCCCAGCGCTGGGGAGGTTGAGAGGAGGATCAGTACAAGTCTGAGTCTGAGTTGTGCAGAGAGACCCTGTACCAAACAAATAAATGAAAGATTTTTTTAATTAAAAAGTGTTGATAATCTTCATAAAACAAGCTTTGGAGATTCTGAGGAACACCTGTCCCACCCTGCATACTGCAGATAACAATATGCATTTTTCTAGATGAGGAAAATAGCCCTAGGAAATTTTCATAGAGTCAGAGTTTTCTCTGAAGCTTACGTACTACTGTCCCCCCAACCCACCCATTACATAAGGTCCTAGGAGTTGCCAGTCAGGGCTTTGGTTCCTGTTTTTTCCATCTTAGAGCCCCTCTACGAGCTCCCCTCCCCAGCTGCTTTAGAAAACAGAATTTCTGGAGGAGAATCCCCAGCAAGAATTTCTCAGGTCCTGTCCTAGGCCCTCCAGAGAAAATCTCTTGGTGGAGGGGCCAAGAAGCCATGTTTTAACCATATTCTCTACCTAACTGCAAATGTTACACATAATGTATTTTATGTAGGATCTTATGATGCACTAAATCTTAGAACAATTCAATCAATGTGCAGAAGAAATTAACCTTTTTAGGAAGAAAGTTATTAAAAGTTGTTCAATATTTTGGAAAAAGTCACGTTATCTGTGGCCATATGACTCCTGGTATTTGGGCATCAAGGAGCATGCTTCTAACTGCCACATTCACTACATTCATGATGAGCCTACTTACACGCACAAGTGTCAGAGCACTGCATTGCCAAAGGTGACCTTCTACATATCCAAGTGCACGTCATATAACTAATATGTGTTCTCCTTTAGGTTGCTGTCAAGAAATTACCTCCACTTAAAAGTGTGTGAAAATAGCAAATAAATATATGAGAAAATGTTCAAATCACTGGTGATTGGAGAAATGCAAATTATGACAACACCAAAATTCCTTCTCACTCCAGAAAGAAAAGCAGCCAATAGTACACACTGGAGGGGCTGTGAGTAAAGAGGAGCACTTTTCCACTGTTGGGGGCAGTGTACATTTTTACAACCACTATGGAGAGTCCTCAAAAATCTAAAACTAGAGGTTCCATTTGACCCAGCTTCCCCTTCTAGGAATCTGACCAAAAGTGTTAAAAGCATCATACCACAGTCACATATGTATACACACATTTACAGCAGCACAGTTTGTAATAGTCAAATCTTGGAAACAGCCCATATGCCCATCCAGAGGTGAATGGATAAAGAAAATATATTTGTATACAACAAAGTATTACTCTGTCATAAAGGATGACATTGTTTAGGTAAATGGAAGTACCTTGACACCATAATTTTAAGTGAAATAGGCACACAAGTTTAAATACTACATTGTTTCTCTGGTGTGGAAAAGGGTGGGGCTGGTGAGATAGCTCAGCAGACTAAAGTGCCTGTTTAGGCAAGCTTAGGCAAGTGCAGGGACCACAGGTTAGATCTCCAGTACCATGTGCTATGCCAGCCCCACCCTCATGGTGGGCTGAGCCAGCCACAGTGTCTGGGCATAGTGGCCTACACCTGTAATCCCAGTGCTGGGGAGGCTGAAAACAGAGGATCACTATGAGTACAAACTGCACAGTGAGACTCTCCAACAACCAAATACATTTAAAAAAATGTAAGGGGAAAATAAGGAGTAAAATTGAAGATAGTATTGGGAAGTATGAAGAACTTGCTCACATGGGAAGGAAAACAAGGGAAGGGGGATGGGATTAAAAAAGAGAATGTAAGGAAAAAAGGAAACAAAGCTTTTGTAAATGGAGGGGGAGGAAGAGTTGAAAGGAGGGGAGGAGAAAATATAAATGCAGGAAAACAGAAAGGTAAATATTGCATGGTCTCTCCTACTTGAGAAACCCCAAATGTAAGTTGATTAAAAGGTAAAATGAAGGAGAGCTGCTGGGAAACAGGGGCAGACCTTATGGAGAAGGAAGAGGGAAGTAGGTAGAGAGAAGGGATCCAAAAGGATCAGGGAATGACAGTCCCTCATACAAATGTAACAAGCATGCATCACAATTATGCCCTAAATACATGTGTGCGAAGTACATTATCTGTGATTTTCAAAGTGGTCACATGGATGCTATGAAGATGTGACGTTGAGTCTGAGTAGATTGGAGAAGCATTGATTTAAACCATCTTAAATACATCCAAGTTGAGTAAACTTGCATTCTAATCCCAAATTCTAGTGATTTAAATGATTTTATTAGGCCCAGAAGGCAGAATATCTTCCAGTTTCATATATTATAACTTTAACCCTACAATGGAAGACACTGGTAAAATCAGATTTCCTTTCAGCTTTGAGGGACCAGAGCCGCTGTCACCAAGGTACCATGAGCCAGACTGTCTTGGGAGTCTTGGAAGCTCCTAGGATACTCCAGCACTGGGATTGGAGTTCTTTTACACCCAGGAATGTGATAAGAGAGCAAACGAGAGTGAAATACAAATATGGGAGTAGAACATTTATGAGGGCACTGATGTGATCTTGGCATTGCGTTAAACTCTTGGCACTCTTAAGGCGTGGATCATGCTCAAGACAGCCTAAGACAGGGAGGCGCTGGCTGCATACCCAGCTGTACGTAGTAAATGGTTCCTGGTCTGACTTCAAAGGCTATGTCCTTACCAGAGCACAATGCTATCTTAAGAAATTTAAAGCCATCACTGATTTGTTTTTTCTTTGGAGTATAAATTTACTAGCTTTTTGTAGTACCCTCACCAAACCTCACCTGTAACAACAACAACAACAACAACAAAAAAGCGAGGCAAAAAAAAAAAATCACCTCATATCAACCACTGAGAAAATTCCCGTTAATACTTTAGAGAAGATCCTCCTAGACATTTCTTTCCATATACACAGAAAACATTACATGCACATATGTATTTTAATGCACAAGTGGGACACGGTCCATGTTTTAGAAGCCTACTTACTCAACAATATGCTTTTTGTCTCGTTTATTTGGTACAAGTTCTCACTACTCAGCATGGCATGCAGTACTGGGATCGAACCCGGGTCCTTGTGCTTGCCAGGTAGGCACTTAGACCTCTGAGCTATCTTCCTAGCCCAGTAATATACTTTCTTTTCTGTCAGTAAAGAGCTACATTCCTAACAGTCAGTATTCCATTATGAACAATAATTGATTTACTCAAGCCTATGCTAGATAATTATTTTTAAAATATTTTAAGCAAAATATGTTGCCTATGTTTGCTGTCATGAGACTATTCAATTTTGTTTTAAAGGAAAAAAGGGTTGGGTTACAGATAATGGTTAAATAAGCAGCTTGTGAGATAAGCAGATTTCTTTTCTTAAAAAATCAGTAGGTATATATGATACATAATAGTTTCATTCATTTGGGAAATTGGTAAATAAGTAAGTAATGTCTTGCCAATTTTGATCCCTTTACTTTCACCCTGCCCCGATTCCAAGTCCATTTCCCC